ACAACAAGGTGAATCGGCCTCACCAATTCTATACCTATACAACAAGGATCACCACGCACTCCCCATACCACACAAGGCACTTACTCACCACCCCTATATTCACACACAAATAAGGTGACCTATTCTCACCAAATTGTACCACACAAGGCGACTCCATTCACCAATTCTATACCACACAACAGGACCCATTCTCATCATCTACAAGTCACCCATCCATAATATTCTTAAATAAAGTGTATCATCCATGCTTGAAGTTCTGTGTCTCAGAGCACCAAGGTAAAATAAAAAATAACCAATATAAAAAAATAATTTCCAGAATGCTCATAAGACATACCTCTGGGAAGGACTGGGCAGGCTGTTCCAATTTGGTGGCTACATCAGCTAGTGTCTCATCCAGCCAAGTGGCCACACGACCAGACTCTGTGGCAACACTGCACCTGACACCAGCAGCACTGATGGCCACCACTCTCTCTCCTGCTAGTCCCAGGGGCACTGCCTTAGGGTGGTGCACAGTTGATAGCTAACAAACATAACAATACATTGTTAGTAGAGGATTACATCATCTAACTTGGAGAAACTTTATCTCATCAAAATGTTTAAAAATTACAATACAGGTAGTTCCCGACTTACGACTGCTTGGACTTATGACCGTCGGGACTCTGACGCCCAGATTGTGACCATTTTTTTCAAATGACGCATTTTCTATGCGAAAGCGTTTCCAGTTAATGTAGTCTCCATGTATAATTAGAAATTATGGGGCCCCATGTGCATTCAGCTGACCATTAAGGTAAGTGCTCAGTCACACTGTATCCATTCCTCATTATTTATTACTTTTACTGTACTGTATTTCATTGTAGATTTTTATTAAAAAAATGAAAAAATTTTGATGTTTTTTTTTTTATATCGGACTTATGACCATTGGGACTTCTGACCTGGATTTGGGTCCCTCACCCATCGTAAGTAGAGCACCTGTACATAAATCCTTACATAATGTTACTCCTGGTAAGGCATTTTATAAATATGTTGGTTGAAAATTAAGAGCAAACCTAACTATTGATTAAATTACAATTTCATAAAATCTTCAAACTTATTTCAAAACCAGCAAGGATACATATTAATAGTGAATGACATAGATAATTAATGTTCACTTGAACTACTGTACATATAGTGTACCACTTCAGGGTACTGTGGTGACCAACAAGGCAGCTCCTTACCTCAGGGTGCACATATGGGTCTTTATCTGCCCACCGCCACTGGTAGAGTTGTCCGGTGGTGGACACAGCGACCAGCTCGGAGTGGAGGGCAGCAATGTGTGTAAACCTCGGGGCAGGCTGGTTCCCTTGTCTCTCTGGCCAGTACTGTAGGCTGTCTGCCACATCAATAGCATCTGGCAGCAGGGAATCTTTTTCTTTCAGTTTCTGCAACATTAATTTAAGAATTACCGTGCTGATAAATGTGCCATAGCATTATCACCGTTGTGTGAACTGTTATTATGGTAACTTTTCGGTCGTGAACTGTAGCTACTAAAAGTTTATCATGTGGATCCTGTCACATTTGCTGTAACCTAACAAGTTTGGTTCAATCCTGTATACTTATTCTCAAGTTACATAGACTAGGAGACAAACAGACAGGACCAAGAATAATATGTATGTGTTACCAAAAACATGTTATAATGTATCAGTTGACTCAACCTAATATGAACAAACCTAAATTAGGTGACTCAGCACAGCATAAACAAACCTGTGTGGGGTTGTGTGACTCTAACCGACAGCAGAGCGTTGGAGACCCTTACGGGGTCCCGAGTAGTGCAGTCACGCCATCTCAGTTCACGCTCACCGCGGTGTTCTGAACCGGTGGAACCTGCAGAACCCTCACGGTCTCTCTCACCTGCCCACGGCTTCCACCTGATCGACTGACAATTGAAATATCATCAGATAACACATTCACCATAAAAATCCTATAACTCTGTAAGTGAGTGAGTGTGTGAGTGTGTGTGAGTGAGTGAGTGAGTGTGAGTGTGTGTGTGTGTGTGTGTGTGTGTGTGTGTGTGTGTGTGTGTGTGTGTGTGTGTGTGTGTCGTATGCGTGTGCATGTTAATAATTTAGTAATCACCTTCCCAAACACTAAAAGATTCTGTTTTAAGATCATGATCTTTATTTTATCTTTACTTATTTATTTATTTTTTAAGTAGGGGAGGGAGATGGGGAACAATCTAATGCTGATGATTTGACTAAAATGAAACTTTTGATCATTTATCAATTACAGCAAATCTGTTTGTCCATATTTTACTGTTTTACTTTTCTGTGAAAGGAAAGATGTGTGCAACCGGCATGAGTAGTGTGATGTTGTATAGCAGTGAAACATGGGCTGAAATGTGAACAGTGAGATGGATGTGTAATGAGACACTGTAAGACAGAAATTCCTGTTGAGAGCAATTGAGTGTTGAGAGTACAGTACTGGAGAAGTTTTGGGTAGAGGTTGGCTGAGATGGTTTGGGAAGTAGAGAGAATGGAGGAGACTAGCTGGGACAGGAGATACTGAAGTCTAAATGTGGAGAAGAGGAAAGGTGAGCCAAGGGTAGGCCAAGAATGACAGGGAAAAGGGGTAAAAAATGAGTTAAGAACCCGACGAGAGAGGGTCCAAGAGACTGAGCGACATGGAGAGCTGCCATCAGGTAAATGTGGCTAACAAGTACAAGTGTGGAAAATGACATTAAAACATTGATGATGAAGCATACCTGCGCCACAGGGAATATCCAAACATGTCATCTGAGAACATGGCATCTGCATCAATTATGACTGAGGGATGGTCAGCAGCCACAGATATGCCAGCATCTAGTAGAGATATCAGGTCTTCTGGTACAAAGGAGTCACCACTCTCCTCGGGCTCCTCCACGTCCTCATCATCCCGTGACAGTAAGTTGTTGACTGCCAGGTTCACATCCAGGTTGGTTCTCTGTATAGTAGGTGGTAGAAAGTGGTAAGTAAGCTCCCTGTTATCTGCTACTTGAGAATCCCACAAACTGGAGAAAACAGCAAAAATCCTAATTCCCATTTCCACAAATCTCTTTAAGAAAACTGGGAAGGCCCTGGAATATCATAGAGTACTTCGGTGTGTTGTACATCATATTTTAATGCTATTTAATTTATTTATGCTTTTAAACAAATAAAATAACCTGATTGTGCTGTGTACAGTATTGATATGTTAAAATGGGATTATTATTACAAAATTAACAGGTGCCAACAATTTAACATTGAATTACCGTATTTGCTGGCGTATAAGACGCATTTTTTTTTAAATGTATCCCAAATTACCCTGCATCTAAATAAGCCCATATTACGGATGGGAGGCCGAGCGCCATAGGTGTAGGTGCCTCGCTAGGGAGTCTGGGACGAGCAGTAGTCACACGAGCAAAAAAATTGTGTTACTAATAATATTACTAAAAATAAAATACTGAAAAACAAGCAAATTATCACAAACTTGCAAATTTGCTTAAGACTTAAATAATGGCATAATGGCAGAGGAAGCTCACATCATCTCACTGTACCTCCTTCAGCATACACCCTCCTGAATACATATCTTACATTATTGACTGAATTACCTTTAAGAAACATTTGTTCATTATCTAAATGAAAAATGGCCCTAGAAAGATTAAAGAAATGTTTACAGAAAGTTCAGCTGCCAGTCAGCCATTTGCAATGTGTCGATGACGCCAAAACAATGGTGATGATGCTACACCCCGGTGGCCGATCATGACAACAACAAAATAAGCAGCTAAAAATAAAAGGTTTCACATCCTGTCGTTAATTTTCTTGACCAAAATATAAACAAGCCATACAGCTGCTCTGATCAGAGGTAGAGTTGGGTTAGCATAATGTTACAGGTTGTACCTCTCTAGTCCGGCATTCTGTGGTCCGGAAACTCCCGTGGTCCGGAACGATTTGAGTTTGTCCAATAGGTAGATAGGCAGCTTTTTTTTACTTATCTGAATTTTATTACAGGAGTATTAAATTTTTGCCCTCAGGCCCCAATGTGGGTCAGTGACCTATGCCTGGGTGGGCTAATCCTAAAAAAGCCCATGGGGAAATTAAGGTTTGTTTACATCCGGCAGTTCGGCTGCTCTCTCTCTCTCTCTGCTTGTCTATACAGAGTACAACATTTAACCCTTCAATATATATGAGCAGTAAATAGTGTTGCTTTCATATTCTTATGTAGAGTAATGGCGATATGTTTCACATGTCTTACATGGCCAAGATCTCACTTTTACCATTAATGGTTGCTACTTATATTGTTCCATTTATTAACATTAAATAACACTACAGGTACTTCAAACAACCATATTAATTTTTTACATTAATTTTACTACAGCTAAAATGGGTCTTATTACTTTCTTCAGTTTTATATGTAGAACCAATCAGTCACTGGTTTAAGTAGCTTTAACATAAACAATGCGGCAGCGTCTAGATCTCCTCTAATATTCCCGCGTACAGTGACTCGTTTAACGAACACCTCGGTTAACGTAATTTCGATTAACGAACTGCCTTCATAAGGATCTTCAATTGATTTAACGAAGTTCTTACGAACCGACCTCAACATGTTTACGCTTCCACTGACCGGGCAACCAGCTTTAGTATCAGTCGCAATACATTAATTGGTTCTAGGGCTTAAATTCCTTACTATTTTAGTAAATATCAAAGTTTATATTATTCATAATTTTAAGTTTAATATTCAATTTTTTAATCATTTTACAATTAGTGAACAAAATTTAAGGTAAAGTGACTAGTTTAATGCGCGGCATCCAGCCTCTTAACACAGCAAACAGGAGTTAGTCTCTCTCTGTTTTCACTGGAGGTAACATCTTGCTTGAGACTCTCTTCAACTAAAGCGCTTTCTGTGTTTCCAACAAATTATTGGTCATTTGAAATATATTTTACATATTGACAATATATAATGCAGTGCAGTGTTGATTTAAAGAAAATAATCTTGAATTACACCAAGAGAGCTAAAATTTATGGGTGAAATGCGCCATGGGGTGACTTCTCTTCCACCCCAATGCCTTCTCTTCTTCTTCTCCTCCACCCCATTCTAAATCCCATCATCATCATCATCAGGAGCCTTCTACATACACACCTCAAAGTAAGTGAACTTTTCTACCATTTTTGTTGAATTTAGGAAATTTTTAGGTGAGCTGGAACCAATTACCCAAAAACCCATTGAAACAATGGTTTCGGTTAATGAACTTTTTAGGTTAGACGACCTTCTGGAACGAATTGAGTTCGTTAATGGAGGGGTCACTGTATTATTAATAAATTGTATTATTAATTTTGCACACACATACATTAATTCAATAAAAACAAATTCAGAAACATTCATTAAAATATATAGACAGTAAATAAGTGTCGCTTTCATATTCTTATGTAAAGTAATGACGATATGTTTTCACGTGGCCTCGCGCTTACATCTGTGATCTCTCTTTTTCTTTACCATTATCGTTAGCTACTTCTATTGTTCCATTTATTAACATTAAATAACATTACTTAAAACAACCATATTAATTTTACTACAGCTACAACCAAGGTCTTATTTTCTTCAGTTTTATTTGTAGAACCAGTCAGTCACTGGTTTTGTAATCGAAAACAATGCTGTGTCATTTCCTCGTGTGTTTTAATATTCTACGTATTATTAATGAATTGTATTATTGTTCATTGCACACATAAACATTAATTAAAAAGACATTCAGTAATAAACAATAATGAATCTTTTATACATAAGAGAAATGGCGCGGTTCCGATATGCACGTCGTCTGCGTTGGCGGGCCATTCAAACCCGTCGAAATTCAAGTTTCGCCGTCAAAATTTTATTTATTTAGTTTTTTGTTCCAATAAAATCGTTAAAAATTAAAAACTCGAAATTTAGAAGCTACTATCGACATTTAACCCTTCAATATGTCTTCAAAGAGACCATGATGCAGAGAAAGTGGTGCTAGTGCTTCCAAGCATAAGCACAAGTCACTATCTATCCAGGAAAAGGGTGAATTTCCATGGTCCGGCAATTTCCATGGTACGGCACCGGTCAGGTCCCGAGGTTGCCGGACTAGAGAGGTACAACCTGTACTATACTAATGAGATGCATTCCCAAGTGTGACCTTTCCATATCTTTTGTGTGGCTTTTTACCTTCTTTTCCCCCCAAAACAATACAGTTAATGAAAATTGCAAACTATATTCTTTAAATAATGTTTGTGAATGCACCTTATACAATATAAATGAATAATATGGTCACACAAGAGGAGATGGGGCACATTGTTTTCGTTTGTGTTTACACCGGAGTCGGGACGATGGTCATACAGGAGAAAATTAAGAAAATAAGACCCTGGTTGTAGCTGTGGTAAAATTAATGTAAAAAAAAATGAATACTGTATATATGTTTTAAGTAACGTTATTTAATGTTAATAAATGGAACAATCCAACATATACGTGCGCATTTAAGGATACTGCATCATTTATCTTAAGAATATGTACAAAAGATTTATTAATGTTTATTACTGAATAAATATTTGATTGAATTAATGTTTATATATATTAAAATGAACAATGCAATTCATTAATTATATGTAGAATATTATAACATACGAGGAACAAGGCATTGTTTTAGGTAGTGACGATGGTTCTACATAAGAAACTGAAGAAAATAAGACCCTGGTTGTAGCTGTAATGAACTTAATTTTCAAAAAATGAATACCTGTATGTATGTTTTAAGTACTGTAATGTTATTTAATGTTAATAAATGGAACACTAGAAGTAGCTAACCACTAATGGTAAAGAAATAAAGCAGATGATTGGGAATGCCAACGTATGAACAGTAAGTGCGTAACTGTACATGTGAAAACATATCGTCATTTCTCTACATATGAATATGAAAGCAACATTTATTTACTGTTCATATATGTTTTAAATAATATTTACGAATGTAAAACAAAAATTCTACACACCAATGGTGGTAAAGTCTAAAACATAAGGACAGTCAATGAATATTGTGCGAGTTTTTACTCAGATGACTAAGTCATCAGCTTCAACTCTGGCTGAAGCTGTAGCTTTCCATAACGCTGATGCTGAAACTGTTACTGAACCAGAAGTTGATGTTGAAGCTGCTTATGATGCTGAATTTGGCGGTGTAGCTGAAGTTGATGGTTTAGGCCTTCAAATAATAAAGCTGTCAAAAGAACCTTCACAGCTGCTTTCTTTTCTCACTATACATCTGTATGTATATTATGTATGCTGGATTATGTATTATGTATGTATATTATGTATGTGCTCCATTTATATTTATTCAGCCCACCAGCTAACTTGGCGTAGTGGCAATGTTATTACCATATCCCTGCAGCTTAATTAAGTAATGCCTGGCGGCGTATGGAAGCACTAATGTATCCTTGCCATCGTAGTCTATGGTGATTGACAGGACAGCTAGCAAGGGGAGCAGTGCTATCACACCTCTGTGTACATACTCTTATCAGTAAACCCGAACCTACAAAACTATACAGGTATTTGTGTTCTCTCCTGTATATAGAACTTATTACCCAGAATACCTAACATGGCTTGGTCGTAGTTTTACTGGATTATTACGGTGATTGGTGCAAGTTTGTGGAAGCCCGGCTGATGGATCCCGGCAGGTCAGCCAGCGTCATCCCTCGAAGGTGCCCAACTTTGAGCAGTGTCAGTGACAGTGATTTTCTGTGAAGTGTTAAGTGCATTGTGTGTTTAATTGCCATTCATGTGTGACCTTGTTAGAACGGATTTCCAAGGTATCACGGCATGTTCTGGGCATTTGTGGGTGTAGAGCTCAAGCGCACCCTCCTCTGACCGTTTACAGGCAACTGAGCTACTCTATCTCCACCCCTCCCTCTGGCAGCCTCCACCCCCCCTCACAGCTGGGGCTGAGGCGGCTCTGCCTGCCTGGG